TGGTTATACAGAAAACTTACTTTATCACTTGTCACAGTAAAGAAAGACTACATCTCGAAAAGACAGCTACTGTACCAAAGAAAGCTATCTTTATTAACCTACCATTCAAGGGCGACCAGATTATGCACTTGACAGCTCAAAGACTTCGGTCAGCCATCTAACGCACATTCTACGCCCCATCTCTTTTTCTCACATGCCGAACATTTTCGATCCCTGTACCTACGATTAAAGGACGAAATTCTGTGGACTCTACTTCAAACTCTATCTACAAGTTCACCTGCAGTTGCAGTGACACACACTATATAATTAGAACCAATAGAATTGTCCCAACGGTTATTAAAACACATAGAAAATCCCAAAGCAATTAATCTGAATAGAAATCCATCGTCATCCATCGCAAAGCACTCATTAATGTCAGTTCACAAAATCAATATTAATGACTACTTCACAATTATTTCACATAACTCTGATTCAAAGTTGGTTATTGAAGGTTGTAGATGGAAGCACTTTGGATTAATCATCACATTCAGCCTAAACTATGTGCAAAAAAACAAGACTTCAATCTTCGCCTACCCTGGTCTACTTGACCAATCTAAATATGATTGGTCATTATAAGTATGTACCTTTGTTTTATATAGCTGAGTAATTGTCGTGCATTTTAATTTATTCTATTATTGTTAACCATGTTAGTTGTAAAGTGGTTGTAAAGGTACAACAACCGCTTTGCAAGTAACATGGTTAACAATAATAAAATAAAATAAAATGCACGACAATTACTCAGATATATAAAACAAAGGTACATACTAATAATGACCAATCATATTTAAATAGGTCAAGTAGTCAGTTCATGGTAGGCGACATTAATTGAAGTCTATTGTTTTTAAATAAAGCAAGAACAACAGTGGTTTATGCAGAATAATATAGTACCATCATTTATTTCGTCGGCTTCTCATCAGTTGCTTACAGTCTAAATAAATTGTGACGTTTACGTACAGAAAAGTTTTTAAGCATACTTGCAAATTTTACACGTTGTCAGTTGACAGAAAGTTCCACAACTAGTGAAAAGTGCTCAGAAAATTGTGCTTATTTAATTTTTACACAGGCAGTTCAAGTCAAAATAAGTGCATGCATACAATGGTAAAGGAGTTACGTATTAAAGACGAGAGGTGAGTAAGATGATGAGTAACTAATAAGTTCGGTAACGATGTGCTGAGTTCAAATCACGTCATAGAAACAAGAGACAAGTAATATTACAGATTATAAAAGAACAGGGGTGAGGTTAAACACAAAGATTACGTAATCAGGGTAGAGAATAAAGACATCCACCTACCATGGCAAGGAAAGACTAATAACTGCTTCTTTCTGAACACATAAATCTGGTTTGAAGCGTTTGACAGAAATTGCTTCGGCAAACTTAAGGAGAATGGAGCTCTTTGTCTATTGATAATTTTAAAGGTTTTTTCTATTGTTTTTTGTACACACAGTTTAGGCTGTATGTGACGATTAATCCAAAATGCTTCCATCTATCACCTTCAATGACCAACTTTGAATGAGAGTTATGTGATGAAACAATCGTGGAACAGTCAATAATATTGATTGACTTTGTGAGCTGACATTAATAAGTGCTTTGCGATGGATGACGATGGATTTCTATTCAGATTAATTGCACTGGGATTTTCTATGTGTTTTAATAACCATTTTGGAACAATTCTATTGGTTCTACATTTATATAATAAGTGTTACCGCAACTGCAGGTGAACTTATACAACACGAACCTACCATTATATATGTCAAAACCAAGTTCACTTTTAACAGTTTGAAAATATTTGGGCATTGGGCATATGATATTCGTTATAATAAAGGTTTTTGTATTTCCCAATGAATGAAAAACAAAACGATATCTTCGTTTTTACTGACGTTTCGCTATTTAATGCCTCTAATAGCTTTATCAAAGTAGTATTATTAAACCAGAATTTACAAAATCTCAGCATATATATAACAAAGAGTTAAGGGGTGGGAAAATAGACTTAGGTCAAGTTACAAGGACATATTCAAAGTTAAAATAGCAATGTAAGTGAATCACTAAACCAAATAACAAAGGTAATAGTACATCTGTTATGGTATCAAAATAAAGTTTACTAACTTGATCACCATTAGTTAGTCCGGGGTCCCAGACTTTATTTTGATACCATAACAGATGTACTATTACCTTTGTTATTTGGTTCAGTGATCTTCATTGGTATTTTAACTTTCAGTATGTCCTTTTAACTTGATCTAAGTCTATTTTCTCACCCCTTAATTCTTTGTTGCATACATGCTGAGATTTTGTAAATTCCGGTTTAATAATACTACTTTGATAAACTTATTAGCAGCCGCATTAAATAGCGAAACGTCAGTAAAAGTGACAATATCGTTTTGTTTTTCATTCATTGGGAAATACAAAAAACCTTTATTATAATGACTACCCTACCATGTTACCGATTCAGTGACTGGATTTTCAATGTAGAAACCTTTTGCACAGGTTCAGTGGACCAGTTCAAGTTGTCTAATGTACTGCAAATGGAGAATAATAAGGAATTCATTACCAAAAAATTGAAGACATCTACATTATTATTAAGGAGAACTTTCAGTACAGTCAACAACAGTCTATATAGCCATTGACTTTAAACCTTAACTTTAACTAAGCAGTGTACACCTATCTTCATAGCATAGGTAGATTAAACCATCAACCAAAAATACTTCATGGACTTTTATACAGGGATTCGCTTTTAGAAATTTGACCAGAGACATTGGTGCAGAATAATAACATGGATCCATCTTATTTCATTGGCTCTCATCAGCTGCTGCATACAACAACAACAACCTATAATCTTTAATAAATAATATAAGTCTGCGTAAAATACTTAACATACTTTTGTCTATCAACAAGCAGACTTCTTTTAAGAGTGTGTCATGTTGAGGTAAAACATCAGGATGTGTGACAAGGTAGCTAAAGTGTAAATATGTATATATTTATGTGTATCTTCTTAGATAGAGAAGTCTTTAGGAAATTAATTGACAAATTTGTTGTTATTAGGGTGGTGGTAACAAAAGTAGATTGTTAATAACAAATATGTAGTTAGATAAGAGAAGATAAAAATTTGATGCGCAAGAGGTCATTTGAGGTCCCACTGCACTGAGACGTTAGTCATCATCTTTCGTCAACATGCTGACTCGCTTCCTCTGTCAAAACTGGAGTTTAAAGCAGCTTCTTGTGTTATGTATGTACCAAGGATACACAATTCCAGTTTAACAATAGAAAATGTATCGCCAGGTTGATGATGCAGTGGCGATGGGGAGTCTGTTGGGCTCTGTATTAGCTGGTTTGTTTTTATGGTTAATCTAGAACAGATAAAACTCAAGTATACAATTGATGAAACAACGGCTTGCTATGAAAACATAGATGGATGACACATTCACTGCATACAGCAGGGATTTGAGTCGCACTGCACCTCTATTAGGCTTATTCAACAATCTTCATAAGAGTATCACTTTCACGATGGAACACGAAGACGCTGATAATTTTCGCTTCCTGGCTATGAACTTGGAGAGACACTCGAGAGATCAATATATCGTGAAGATACATAGAGCTTTGTCTACTCAAACTTCAACAGCTTCTGCCCAATCAATTATAAACGAACGCTTTTCTCCAGAGCACTAAGAATATGTTCACCTGACAAATTAGAGAGTGGACTAATACTGCTTGAGAATTGATTGAAAGAAAATGGTTATCCACAGAGCTAAATCGACAAATATGGCAAGAATGGACGTAAGAAACTTGATGCAATTGCTGTCAGTAAGAAGCAAGTTTTCATCAGACTCAACTTTAGGGGCAATGGTACTATGAGAATCATAAATAAAAAATTAAGCGCAGCCCTGTTTAGGATGTATCCTGCAGCAAAACTAGTCTCTCTGCTCCAAACATCCTATTCGTTGGTACAGTCAAAGATCGACTAGTACCCCTATTATGTTACCTCTAACTGCGTGTACCAATTGACATGTATCTGTGAGAGGAAATTTACATTGGCTGAACAGAAAAAAAGGCCTATTTCAGACTTTTTTTGAACATATGTACCAAGGAACTCCTGGTTCAAGGTGCCAAACACTTTAAGCAATTCAGTCACCGAAAACACCTGTCAGACACTGGACACTGAGCAGAAGTTCTGCCATCATTCAAAATAATTAACAGACAAAATAGCTCAAGTCTAGGCTATCTCAATAAAACGGCTGAAACCTGCTGGATGTGTCCAAAAGGAATCTGTCGCTGGAATCCAGTTACCCTGGTGACTCGTCTATTAATAACTCTTGGTCTTCTAATTCCATTAACTAATGTTTGCAGCGACTACTCCGTACCCTCGCCTTGCTTTTTTCTGTTTGACTTTCATAAAAGATAATTTTTCTTGACCATACGATTTCTAGTCACCATATTATATCATCATCTTTTCATTTGACCTCTTACACACAAATTTCGATCTTCTCTACCTAACTCCATAATTGTTATAAATCTATTTACCTGGGGTTCTAGTGAGAAGTCGTGACCAGTAGGGTGCAGCAGGTTGGGTGTGACGACAAATACTCGCCGAAGACATTGGCTAGGGGTCGCGCTATGTCGTGAATTGGTAGAAGTTAGAATTCATGGACTAGCCATTGGATCGGGTCCCAGTGGCTCAACGGTCTACGAGCTCGCCTTGTAACCTGAAGGTCCTGGGTTAGAATCCCGATGGGTGCGTACTGATGAAGAGTCCCAAACTAGGCTGACGAAACAGCTGTCCAGTACTCCCAGGTTTTCCAATGGTTCTCTAGCTAATGTCAGTCAGCTCATGATGAAATTCTGTAACCAAATCTACTTTTCTTTCCATCAATATAAACATATTTCAAAAGGAAGGGAAAACCAATTAACACTTGATAGAGGAGGACAGATAGAGTCAGAGACAGAGACAACATAAAAGCGAGGAACTTACAGCTGTAATATATTTTCGATGGTATATCATTCACAGTACATTTATCAGATAATGGAAGAAAATTATCGATCCACCACTTTGTATAGAGATCAGAATAACCGATTGTAGATGATAATAATAATGTACGACCTGTTGCATAAGCCATTTGAAAACAATGCATTAAATGATGCGTATTACAACCGAATGCACATGGTCGATCAAGTGTAGCTATAACATATTTCGCTTTTTTACAATCAACAGGATTCTAAAAGATAAGCGGAAAAAAACAACAGAAAGAAACATTTTTTTAAAGAGATACGTTGGAGGCGAGGGGGAAAGGAGGGGGTTATTATGAAAGCCTCTAATCATTATATTATTATTATTATTCCCTTGGGTTCTGAGTGGATGGTACATAGGGGGGCTTCAACAACACATTTCCACTTTCTTCGATTTTCTGCAGCCCTCTTCATCTGGCTAGCTCTCCACGATCGTCCATATTCTCTCATCTCCTCTATGTCACATTCGCACTGACTGACGACCAACTCGTCACTTCCCATTCGAATTCCACTTGACTGATGGTATGACTAACGCGCGATGTCATTTAAACAACCTCTTCTTCATTGGCGTATTCTCATGGCTCAGGGTTGGTTTGTTCCCATGCAGAGTTTCTTGTTGCTAATTCTTTCTAGCTGGCTGGCCTGCCATTTCATCATCTTCAGCATTGAGCCGGCAATAAAGGCAGCTGTAGATAAAAGTCTATAAAAGTCTGCGCATGCCTAACCATCGCCCCCCCCCACCCCGACGGGCATTACTAGCTGATTGATATAGGTGCAGGTTGGAAAAGAGTAAGTGGTGCCATGCCAAACAAAAACATGGCCTCATCAATCCATGAAATCCTTGACAGTTAAACTGAGTCAGGTAGGGAGATGCAGACTTCCGGGTTGGGGCCCGCCCTCGGGACTCTAAGAATCAATGGCTGGAGACAATAGGTGACATGGCTCAAAATCCTTGTCAATGGCTTACGCAGATGTATTCAGTCTCTTTAACCTTCATATTCCTTTCTACCATTACTCATTCTGTTTCACTCTTATACTTGTCAAAACTCTATTGATTCTCTTCACTCACTTTCTTGTCTACCTTTGTGTGCTATTTGGAACGTGGCAACTGGAACTGCTGCACTTCGGTGCCAAGTTCTATGTTGAATCCAGCCAGCCAGCCAGATAAAAGTCTGCAGTGATCTGTTGGGAATCCTTTTCGTGACACGCAGTCCCAGTTTCTGACCCCATAAAGACGAACTGACTTAACATTGGCATTGGAAATCCAAAACTTCAGTTTTCCTTTGTGAGTCATCTGACATGTGGCATCGTCAGCTAGCCAGCTGTTGAATGATGTTGATAAAGATTCAGGCACTGCATGCCACAGTGTTAAATGGAGAGAGAGAGAGTGAGAGAAAAAATGGAGATGTATTGGGCATACGTGTAAATGAGGAGGCCGTCGAGTGAAATGACGCGGCGTTAACCAGTTCATTGCTCGAGTGGAATCCAAATGGGAAGTGACGAGTGGGTCGTCAGTCAGTGCGAGTGTGACATCGAGGACATGGGAGATTATAGTGAATCATAGACCCAGGTGAAAAGGACGGCAGAAAACAGAACATAATGCAGATGTGTTGTTGAAGACCTATATTCCACTCGGAACCCAAACGAATAATAATATAATTAAGTCAGATTACACTGAATTCAATAATGATTTAAAAAATATAAAAATAAACTATATATATATATATGCGTCGGTAGCATAGCGGTTAGGACGCTCGCCGACCATGCACATGGTCCGGGGTTCGATTCCCGGCCGACAAAGCACTCCTTTACCTCGTTAAACCAGAAATAAAAGCTGGTAAAGAGGAAAGGTTGGGCATGAGGCAAGCAACCCCATCCTGTAAAAATAAACACTGCTACAGAAAATTCGAGCTTCTAGCTCGAAGCCACATGTTCCACTGGGAACGTGAATGAATAAATTATATATATATATATATATATTTTTTTTTTTATTTTTTTTTTTTTTTTATTTTGATTTACAGCTTGATTCCACACCATATTTTCAGTACAAGTATGGAATTTTCAGCATGGATATCGGTAGCCCAAATTCAGGCCGACCATAGATATCGGGTGTGCGCCGGCAGGGGCTCGAACCCCGGACCATGTGCATGGTCGGCGAGAGTCCTAACCACTGTGCCACCGACCCATATATATATATATATATATAATATATATATATATGTATATATATAGTGGTTTCATTGACTCCTTATTTGCACTGACTGTTGATTATGACCAAATTCAGGCACTAACTGATGCCTTTCGATAAGCTAAATTGCATTATTCAGCAAAACCTACTTTTAAAAACCAAAAATATTCAAGTAGATTATATATATTGAGATATGACCAGTGTATCTACCAGTTAACCTAATTAGGTAGCCGCAAACTGGCTCTTCAAGCTATGCTTAACCCCGGGTGTACACATCTGATAAGTTCAGTTCTAAACGAGAGAAGTAACAACTATCTGATGTTTAGACTACTGAGATAACAGGTTGCTAAATACTATTTTTTTTTAAAATTATAGCTTGAAACCACACAGTTTTTTTTTGGTACAAGTATGGAATTTTCAGCATGTGATATCGGTAGCCCAAATGTTTTGCAGGCCGACCATTGAGATATGAGGTGTGCATCGGCAGGGGATCAAACCCTGGACCATGTGTATGGTCGGTGAGAGTCCTAACTGCTATGCCATCGACGCACAATTAGTAGTACATAAGAATCGTAACCACTAGAACAGTATTCTACATTCCGATTATTTCTTTGTATCTGTAGTACATTCACGCCCGCCTGTTCAAATAGAATGGATAGATTCCTGTGTTGACAAATATACTTGACTAGAATTTTTGGTAATTTCCTGAATGAAACAAAACAAGCGTCGTGAATTTCACACAGGTGATGACGATTTCCAACCGACAATTATTATTATTGTTCCCTTGTGTTCCTAGTGGAACATAGGGCTCCAACTGCACGCCTCCACCTGCTTCTGCTGTACTTTTCACCTGCATCCATATTAGTCCATACTGTTTCAGCTGTTCTCCACACAATCTCTTCCATGTCACCCTTGCACCGACGAACCAAACGCCGCTTCCCTCCAGGGTTCCACTCGAGCTATGGCCTGACGTACGATGTCACCCAACGGCCTCCTCAGCCAGCGAGTGTCCAATCCATCTCTACTTTCTCCTGCATATTTGTTGAACGATTGGTTCTTGTTTTGTTTGTTCCCATAGTCTCTTGTTGGTGATTCTTTCCGGCCATCTGATCTTCAGTATAAAGAGTGAAGACAGTTGTTGATAAAGGTCTACAACAGGCTGTTGGAAATATTCTTTGTGACCCGCCAAGTTTCTGATCCATCCGTTTAGAAGAACTGACTGACTTGACGTTTGTATTGAAAATCCGAATTTTGTTGTTGATGCAGGCTGAGTGACGAAGATTTCGAGATTGGTTTCAGGTTGATGAATGTGTTTCTCGCCTTCCCGATTCTCGATTTGACATCTTCGTCCGTTCCTCCTGTAGTTGAGACAATGCTCCCTCCTTAGATAAGTGAATGAAGTCACCTCTTCCAAATCCCTCCCGTTGATGGTGGTTGGCGCTGGATGTTGCTGCTGTTGTTGTTGTTGGTTGGTTATTTTCACAATCTCCGTCTTGTCTATGTTCACCTGCAGTCCTGTCTTCTTTGGCTGCTTCTTCGACCAATTTGTCGGTTTTCGCTTATAAGTCTTCGATTTTGTGTGACATCAAACATAAATCATCCACGCGCGAAATCCAGGTCTTCTAGGTTCTTCACATCGGTCCAGCACAATAACAATCACCAATTACTATCAATGAAAGAAATTTCAAAGAAGTCACTTCGTTTTACCTATTTAGACAGTGTTGTGTTTTTTCAACTACAGACGGCATGAATGAAGATGTCAACCGTAAGATCAAAACAAAAAGAAAGCCAGACACATTCTCATTGGTCTAATATCATGGAGCGAAATCAGCTATGTTAAGCGCATAAAGAAAGAACAAGAGATTCAGATTTTCAACACTAATATCAAGTCCGTTTGTTATTCTATGTATAGTTCAGAGATTTGGAAGGTCCCCTGAAGCATTTCCAACAGGAGTGATAGAAGAAGACTTTATCAACAGTTGCTTATTTCGCTTCATATTGAAGACTAGACAACCAGAAATGATTAACAACATGGGATACTGGTAGACAACAACAAACCAACCAATGATCTATTGTCAAACAAAATATTCCGAAAGAAATGCAAATTGATTGGATACACACTGTGGAGACTGTTGAGTGATATCACACACGTCAGCAAGACCCTCGAGTGGAAACGGAATGGGAGACGTTAGCAGATGGGTATGGCCTAGAAAATGACATGCATGAGATCTTGTGAGGAGATAAGACCTTATGGGCAATCACGAAGCCAGGTAGAAAGAACTGCACAGAACAGGATGAAGTGAAGATGGGCTATTGAAGTCATATGTTACACTCGGAAGATTTGATCTCAGAGAAAGCTAATGACAGAGAGTTATGGAGATACATGGAAAACGCGAAAGGAACACAAAGAAACACAATATAAAGGTCAGACATAACAAAACACCGAAGATCTGTGCAAATGGTGCATTGAAGATAAGCTATACCTTATTTGGCCATATAGAGATACCAGATTCCAAATAAACATACCTTAACCAAGTCCGTTACAGTAGTAGTGGGGGTGAAGCTACCGATGGAATCCATGACTCGCATCTCCATCATATGTGGAGCTCATCAGAATGATGTAATTGCTAACCACTGGGTCATTGCGTTCCTAGTGGTTTGGTGGATAATGCCTTGTTTCGGATCCCACTGGAAATACTACCACCCACCTCACGTTTCAGATACAGGTACATTTATTTTGATTGGACATTAGTAACTAGTGTGACGTATCTAGTCCTTTCTTTGGTGCAGCCTGAATTCTATCAGTCAGGTATTTGCAATGTGGCCACCATTCTAGGTAGCTCGCCATTACGGTGCACATTGATTTGATGATATTCGATGGTTGCAGGCAATCGGCCACAGGAAGCCCTTCTTAACCTAGGTTTCGTGCTAGTTGGCACTCACCACCCAGTCAGCAAGGCGTATCTGGAACCTTGAAGGAACTCATGTCCCTTCTGAGATTCGAACTCGAGACACCCAGTGCT